AAAAAATCCATGCACCCGGAATATTATCTGTGCATCGGATTTATGTAACACTTTCTTTGTTCTCCTCGCATTCGAGCAATATGCGTAGTTCCAAATATATTTAGATATACTATAAATTTACCAGCATCTATATTATTATTATTACGACATCATTACATTTTATACAGAACGAATAATATGAAAACTCCATTTTTAAGGAGAAAAGATGCTATTAAATTGTAATTTTTTTTTGAGTACTAGATATAATTTGTAACTATATTATCAATTCATTGCAACAAAAGGGTAGATTCTACAAACATTTACCAGGACATGTCTGGTCGATCCTGGGCCCTGTTCCCACACGACGGGTGGTGCGACGAGAGGAGTGAAAGCGCCTCGATTGTGAGGACTCTCGTATGTTGCCATTTCCGTTTCGTTCGCCGGGATTGGCAGCAGAAGAAATTTCTGTTGGAAGATGCCACACTTAATTTGTTAACATCATAACAACAAAAGGTGCTTCTATCCAATTGTAACATGTGTATTCAAGAATATTGAAGTAGGCAGAACATTAGATAAAAACCAGAAGTTGAAACTGCTTTTGTTGGAAAACTATGTGTTTGTTATGTTTCTATAAATTAGAATTTGTAACATAATAAATTTCTGCCTGAGTTATCATTTTCAAATTTACCCATAATCGTCTATGCGTTGCATTCCATTGACTTCTTTATTTATACCGAATCTAGGGCCAAAATGAATTCCTATTATCTCTATAATTTCCAAGACATAACACCAAGATGATGTCATTTTTTTCCATTGATATTATCTATGTTCAATGAATCTCTGAAAACTTGTGACTCATCAAAATATACAACATAAACATAACAAGAGGGTGTATATAGCTCCTGTATCTGGTATAAAGTTACATACTAATTCTCTGCTGTGTTGAAATACACCATACCTTTAAATATTGTTTCAACATGTAACGATAGGAAAAATATAGCAACAAGTCGTATTATAACTACTTAAAAAAATCTTTTGTAACATCGAAAGAACTTTTCTTGATGAACATGTCAAGAGAAAAATTGGAGGGTGTGAATTAAATCATGGAAGCACCATGGTTCCAAATTTTATATGATTCGTTTCTCCATAGAATTAGAATGTTCCACCTAATTGAACCTTGGTTTGAACACACATCAATACAAGGTTAATTCCTTACTGTACTATTTTGGTAAATTAATACTTAATATTCTTGATTCGCATTGCAACATGCCTTTGTCATAAGGATGTTAATCCATTTACAGTTTCACTAATAAGAAGTAACATGACACATAATGTGATCAAAGTATATTGGTCCAACCAGTGTTACCTTTTTTTATAAATACATGATAACATCTATATATTTGTTTGTCAAATAAAGATATCTACCTATTGCAATTTACAAATTTTCCGCGTTTCATGCTCCATTACTTGTTGCATTGTTTTTGAGCAAATCAGGAGTGTAGACATGTTGACTAAGTTTGTCTTCTCCATTTTCACATCATAATTATTCCAAATGCAATTTTTGGTTGCATTTTCTTAAACATATGGTAATAAGTTAATTTAGTATCTACTTTACTGGTATCAAATGAAGTTCCAATATGCATTTACAAAATAACTTATTAGAAATTATGAGACTTAACTAGCCCGTTCAAGTGCACAGATTGAGGATTAGTATTACATGTAACGATTTTAACTTATATGCATGTGAATATTTTTGTGATCAAATTAAATTGTTCAATAGGTGAGGGGTATGAAATCTGTGAAAAATCAAAAGAACATTTCTTGATGAAATATGCGACAAAAAATAGAACTGTGTGCCATTTAAATCTTGGAAATACTATGTTCTTAATTTTGTGTGATACTTTTCTTCCTAGAACTAATACATTGCAACATATTGAATCTTGGCTTGGGATATTATCAGTACCATGCTAATGCCTTACTTAGTATATTTTATTTGTGTTGCAGGTCTTACCTCATGACAAATAATAATTAAAAAAGTATAGTTACAACATAAAGATTCATCATCAGTTCTATCAGATTTTAAGTAACTGTCAATGCCATTATCTATGATACCACATATGGTATGGATAAACTTCTGACAAACAGGAATATTCAAGATAATAAATCGTTGGCACTGAACGAAGATACCACGGGTTGAAGAAGTACATTTGCCAAATTTCTCAAGGAAACTAGAAATAGAAAGAAAAAAACTGAGTTCGATGGGGAATGCAAACGTCTGAACTTTTTAATCCTCAGGAATTAATCTCAACAAGTTGACTAGGACGCAAAAATAAATGTGTTAGTCATCAAGGCAGGATAATCCACATAAAAGAACAGAGCATTGTATAACATTTGACCAAATCTCTTGAGGGAACGAAAATTAGAAAGTTCTATTTTTTTCTTTTAAGTAGTGTGTCTAATGGGGAATGCAAACATTTGAACCTTTGAGGCCTCAAGAATTAATCTCAACCAAGTTGACTAGGATGCAAAAAAAAATAAGTGTCAGTCATTAGATGAGTCTAATTCACATAAAAGAACTGTGCATTGCATAGCGTAGGCTCACACAGAATTCTAGGTCAGAACTAGTTGAAGAGAGTTCTATTGTAGATTTGATACGCTAGTTTAGTACTTACAGTTTCGCTACATGATAGGAGGCACAAGCTTAACATGATCATAAGTATTATACATAATTTCTAGTTTTTATTTTGTATTTGTAAATAACGTTCATTGGTCTACTCGAGGAATAATGTTCATCATTTATTGGACATATTGTATGAAGGTGTTGTACTCTTATTTTACAATATGGGTATACTGAAACATAGATTGCTTGTTCTGTAGAGTGGCCAAATCTTGCAATACTATTTGAAAAAATGGTACTCGAAGTGTTATATGTTTGACAGCAGCCTGGTAAAAAGGGAAAGTATATGCATGCTCAGGGATCAGAGCATTAGTTCGAAAGAGGAACTAGAGTTTAATCTTGCCAACAAGATCGTTCAAAAGTAGGACATACTAACTAGCTCGTATGGTACAAAATATAATATGGATCAATTTCTCAGTCAGGAAATATTCTAGATATTAAGTCACTGGCACTGAACCAAGAAACTACAGGGTGTAGAATCCCATTTGACCTAATATAATCTCTTGCAGTTGCAGGTATGAAAAAAAATGTTCTAATTTTTTTTTGTGAGTTCCGCGGGGAGCGCAAAGGTCTGAACTTTAAAAGCTTCAAGAATTAGTCTCATCCAAGTTTATGAGCACGTAAAAGATTAGGCATTCTACTATTCTAGTCTTCGTGTGAGGCTAATGCATGGTGCACATGACAGAATTAGAAAGTGTATATCATATACCCAACTCATACATACGTCTTATGGCAGAAAAGAACAACCAGAAGAGAGTTTGATTTCGATTGCAAATATTATTCATGCATGGTAGTGTTTTACTTGCAGTTTCACTAGGTTAAACGAGGCATGTAATTCCAGATCATATATCATAAAAAGTTTCTATTTTTCAATTAAAGCATATAAACAAAGTTTATTTGTCGACTCGAGGGATAACATTCATCATCCATCGGATTGAGTTGATGAAGGTACTGTAGACTTATCTTAGACTAAAGGTCTACTGAAGCAAAGATTGCCTGGTCCTTTCAAAAGCCATCTGCCCCTTCCCGATTGGATTTTTTTCACGGAAACCAAAGAGAAAAGAAAGATAGTAAGATCCATCAACATGATGCTACACTTGGACAGAAGTCACTTCCCGTCAGACGGAAATAGAGTGTTCAATTCTAAAAATATATTTTTTTTTGGAAAAAATGTCGGTGTTTAAATCTAAGAAAAATAGAATCATAAAACTATCGGTGCTCAAATATAAATTACACATTTCTCTATGTAATAATAATCGAAATGCACTATCTCCATTGAAGAAAAACATAGATCTTTTATTTACTGCTTACCTTCAGACATTTGCATTCGATCGGTAATTGGCTCCCAAAGCTAAGGTAGGTAGCTAGCTATGCTCGTCCTTCTGATCTATAGTAGCAGTAGGTTGGTTGGTAGTTGGTACGCCGTAGGCTAGCTCTTATATACAGTGGAGTAGTACTTAGATCTCTCTCTCCTTGAGGTGAAAGGATGATGGTAGCGCATGTGCGAGTCTGCGAGAGCGTCAGAGTTAGCAAACCACGCCATGGGAAACAACAGCATCCACATGAGGACGCCGGAACAAGAGACAAAGAGCACGCACAAGAGCGCCAAAGCTAAAGCCGAGCTGAGGAAACCAGCTCCCCGTAGCCCACGTTGTTATTGAAGTGCTGACAAACGCAAGAGGACAGCAGTACTAACAAGAAATACAGTGCAGCTAGGGTGTACCGTTCGTCCTCTTCTAGGATGGCCAGAAAGCTATACGTATGGTCTCGTCCGTAGCTCTGGAAGTACGTATGGTCTTTCGTCCTGTATGCATTAATGAAACTTGCGATTTGCCTGCAAACGTTGCCACATAAAACGGGCGATGACCTGGCCGGGGCATCTTCCCTACTACAGTAGTACTAGTGTGCATCTCAACCATAAATTATTCTGTTATATAGACACCGCGGACTAGTCAATTCATGAGCTTTAGTTGTGTTCGCTAGCTGTCGGAATGCGGAGCGTTTTCTGTACGCCGAGGCAAATTATGGGGACGCTCGGCTCGTTAAACAGACGGCGCTTGGCATAACATCGGGCCAAAGCTCCAGGGCTGTATGTTTGCCGACCGTGACACTCGGGGAGATAGACAAAAAAAAAATGAAACTTTATGGGCACTAGCACCCACGGTTTTATTGGTATAGAAGAAGCATCCCTCATGATAATTCCAGAAATTCGTCCCCGACGTGGATCGAACTCTGGTCGTTAGGTTTACAATGATGCGCCCCCAACCACTGGGCTATGCCCACGTCCTCAAAAAATGAAACTCCATGGGCACTAGCACCCACGGTTTTATTGATATAGAAGAAGCATCCCTCATGAGAATTCCAGAAATTCGTCCCCGACGTGGATCGAACTCTGGTCGT